CAAATGCCTGTGTGCAGAGAGAAGCATCCAGCAGGGGGAACCTCTGAGGGCTGCAGGGTGCTGGAGGCAGGAGAGGGGCAGAAAGGGCTTCAGGGGAGGTGGCAGGAGGACATTGGGGCATGTGAAGAAGGCACTGAAGTCTTCCTGGAAGACACGTAGGCACTAAAGACACATGCAGCTCTGAGAATGTGGGCTGTAGGGCAGCACAGCAACACCATGACAGTGACAAACCATGCTGGCCAGAGTGGGGGTGGCAGGGAGTGGAAGGAGATCTGGCTGACAGGCGGGTGCAGACAGCAACTGGAGAGATCAGCTGCCTTTGAGGGACTGGCTCCCTCCCCGGCAGCCACCACAAATGTCCCCACTTTATAGATGAGGACGTTGAGGTTTAGAGAGGTTCCGTTCTGGGCCAGTGGGAGCTTGGGGAAGATGCCCTAACGGGTGTCTGGCCCATCCTCAGTCCTAAAGAAAGGGTGGGGCATAGAGGTGGAGGAGAGAACCCTTGGAAGCCTGGTTGGTGTCCCACCACCTCCAGGAAGCCCTCCCTGACCATCTCTGCAGGGCAGAGGGCTTAAAGCAAAGAGTTCTGGGTTCCTGCGGACCTGAGCCTGAATCTTTCTCTGTTGCTTATTAGCTGTGTGACATATTCCTAAATCAAGGCACAGGGAGGGGGAGGTGCACTGGGTCAAAGACACAGTTCTTTCAGAGACTCACAGATACCCCCTCCCCAGGGGGGTGTGGTAAATGTTTAACAACCAGCTTTCTGAAAAAGCAAAAACAAAACAACTCTGATCTGTAGCCTCTGCCAATTTCCTTGGTGTCAATTCCCACTCACAGCTGATTTTGAGCTACCAACGTGAGGTCACTCGAGGTGGAGTTGAGAAGAGGTGTACACAGTTTGGCCCCAAGCACGGACAAGAAGCGCCCAGGAGGCAGCACAAGGGAACACAACCCAAGTGGGCATCTGCTAAGCACTAGCTGCTGGGCTGGGGCTGCTGCACTGAATCCTCAGCACTGTCTTTTCCAGTGGAAATCCCTAGCCCCGTTTTACTCATGTCAAGACCAAGCTTCAGCGAGGGGAGGCCATGGGGTACATAGCCAGAAAGTATCAGAGACACGTTCAAACCCAGGTCTGCCTGTCTCCAAAGCAGGGAGAAAGGCTTCTTATAGGAACCCGGGAAGATGGGAGCCCACTTCCTCATGTATGCCAGGCTGGACCTCAGGACCTCAAGGGGCAGCTTTGGATTAATAAGGCCATTTTTCAAAAGTGAGCCCGGGCGGTCAAAAGTAGGGTTGGAATATTTCATCTGCCTTCTGTGGATGGAGAACAGCCCAGCCTGGCACCAACAGGAAGGGCGTGAAATTCCCAATGGGGAAGCGACGGGCTGGGCTAATGACTGTGGGCCACACAGAAAACACCATGGCACACGCAACGTTTGATTAAAACAGTGACAACGGCTGAGCGCTGCACTTGTGCTAGTATTTCATCTTCACAAGAACCCTTTGAAGTTGGCACCAATGGTCCCAACTTTCCAGACGAGGGAGCTAAGGCTCAGGGAGTTTCAGTGCCTTGCACACAGCCATGCAGCTAACCGGTGGAGCTGCAGGCCTAATGTTGCAGGCCCTCAGAAAAGTGTTTCCCACTGGGCCGCAGGCTTTTACAAACAGCTCCGCGCACACAGTTCAGTGTCTGGCCGGTACTTAGGTACATATGGACGGATTCTGTAACCAGCAGATAGAGACATGGAACATTTTCAGTCCTCCAGGGCTCCCAGGGCCCCTTCCCAACTGACAGGTCTCATCACTGTCCGGATGGGCTGGGGTGTCCGCCCTGCAACCCCTTGGAACAGAGTCTAGCGCGACGATTCTTGAACACAACCCCTGCCAGCCTGAAGGCACCTCAGTTTGAGATCCTCGGGGTTCCAGTGTGGGATTTCAGGATCCAGTCCCGGGGTGCCCACCGTGGAGAGAGATTTCTGTTATGCACAAAAAAATGGCAACATCACAGAACCTGGGTGATCCCCCAACCCTGTCCGGAGGGGGACAGTTACCCAGAAGGAGCCGTCCCAGGTCTGTGCCTCCCACCTCTCTTGGCCTTAGCTCCCTCTCCTGCACAGCCACCATGGCCTCCATGGAAACCTGCAGCCAGGATTCAATGACAAGCTATCTGGCATTGAAGGGACAGTGGCTGCTAAGAGGCTCTGAGCCCCAGCTTTAGGGGGAGGCTCAAGGGGAGAGAGGGGGAATTCTCAGAGCAGCATGTCAGCGGTACGTCCACGTCCCTTCTCGTGGCCCTTGCAGCATCACCTTCTTTCCACGCCTGCAGCACCCCCTTGTCCAGGAGAGCATTTCCGCCTGCCTTGCTCACGTCCCTTGCCCAGCTCAATATGCATCGGCCCCTGTCCCTTGAAAAGAGCCACCTTGCCTCCTTTCTCCGCATGAGTCACGGTGGTCTGTTGCAAACCCAGCTCTCGTCATGGACCCCTTCTTGCTGCCCTCCAATGGTCCCCTCCACATTGACAGAAAGGCCACTGCCTTCCCCAGTGTGGGGCTCTGCTCTGCAGGGTGAGTCTCACTAGCCAGGAACACAGGAGGTCATTAGATGTCTGTTGGATGCACTGACTAAATGAAAGTAAAAAAGTAAAAAATGGGAAGGGAAAGGATGGGGGAGGGGGGGGAGGAACAGCATCAGCACTCTGCAAATGCCCCTGCCCTGACCAGGCCTGAACCCAGGGTGGCCTCCATGAGGCCCAGGGTCCTGGGGCACCAGGGAGACAGCCCGACCGGCAGGGCCTGAAGCCCTCCCATGTCCCATGCCGGGGCTCCGACCCAAATCCTGCCTGACTCCTCAGAGCAGGGAGAAAGGGAGCAGGGAGAGGGGCCAAGACAAGCAAAGAGACTTCCAGAGCCCCTTCCCAGGACGCTGAGGCAAGGGCTGCTCTCACGCCTGCTCCAGATTCCACCAGCAGAACCAGGAGCCAACAGCTGACGAAATCCTGGCTGCCTGCGGACGCTGCCCGCCCGCCAGGGCCCCAGCCTCCCACGCCATACCCTCCAGGGCTGCGGGGCATGATGGGGCTGCAGAGGGCAGAGGGATGTCTCCAGAACACCACCTTCTTGGATGACTGCCTCCGTGGGAGGTGATGGTTCTAGAAGAAAAACAAACAAGCGCCGGGGGAGGGAGGAAGCAGGCAGCAGATGCTGGCAGGCGAGACGCAGTGTCTGGGGGAGGTCAGGGCAGGCTGGCGGGTGGCTGGGCTGGAGGGTGGCCCCGCGGGTGCCCTATGGCGCCAGGCCAGGGTTGGGCCCCCAGGCCCTTCCAGTTGGATCTGACAGGGAATCTGGGCAGAGAAAAGTGTCCTTGGCGGGACGCCACCACCCAGGGGTCCTCCTTCTCTCACAGCCAACACTCCCTCCTGTCTTGGGTCTGACAGCACCTTTGGCTGGGTGGCCCACGCCAGGACCCTGGGTCTCAGCGCCCTACCGTCCATTATTTCCCATTGCCCTCGCCTGTGGTCAAGCCCTTGGCCTTCCTCCCACAGCACCCTTTATTTATTCATTCAACTCATTATTAGGGAGCTCCTGGGACGTTCCAGGCACCGGAGTTGGAGCAGCAGACAGATCTTGTCTTGCCTCATGGAGCTTTCATTCACTCACCCCCCCACCCCAATCTCTTCCAGATGAGGTGAACCCCCAAGCATGCATTCAAAGCTGTCAGCTCCTAGTCTGGTCCCAGCCCAGCCTTCCAGTCATCTGGACAGGCTGCCCAAAGTGTGTGCCGTGCTCATGCCCTCCTCCGAGCCTTTGCCCATGCTGTTCCCTCCACCAGGCATCCTGATCTGTCCCCTCTGCCCGTGACCCACTTTCACTCTTCTTTCAGGAAGTCTGCCTCATCCCCTCCACGGGATACTAGCTTTAAACTGAAGTCTGCTCGTGTGTGAGATCGAGGTGACAAGCACACCGTGTGGCACTTGAGGAAGGGGTGGCAGGAGCAGTCAGGCAGAGATCGCAGCGGTGGGAGCAGGAAGGGCACAGTTCTGAGGCCTTACAGGCAGCAGTTGTTCCCTCACAGTCCCTGGGACATTCCACCCAAAGCTGGAGAGAGAACTGCTGCTCTCACATGCCACTCTCCTGCTAATTGAACTTTCAAGGGCTCCCCATGGCCCGACCACAAAGTCCAAGAGAAGCTGCGTGTTGGCACCCAAGAGCGGGCATTTATGTTGGCTCCAACCTATCCCCTCCCACCTCTACTGCAGACCCAAGCTCCATCACGCCCAGGCCCATGCACCTGCAATTCTCTCTCCAAAACACGCTTCCCTCTTTTCTACATCTGACTAGTGCTTACTCAGTCCTCCTCATCCCCTCAGGGAAGCCCTTGCTTTCTCCCAGGCATACTGAAACCCATCCCTCCCTGTTCTCAGGCCCTGAGCCACTGATGTCACCTATGGCATCACGCTCCTTGAAGCAGGTACTTCGACCAGCCCATTTTACAAATGAGGATGAGGCACAGAGAGGTTAAGTCACATGGCCAGGTCACACAGCTCGGCAGTGATGGGGCTGGGCTGGGAACCAGCCAGACTCCAGAGTGCCTTACACAGCTTGGATTGTCTACAGCACTAGACAATCCACACCGTGTTGCTCTGCTTTTCGTTTCTGTGTCCCCCAGGCCCCCCAGCTTCTGGGCCTGCTGGCCAGAGGTGAAGACCCAGCCAGGACGCCACCTAGGAGTGTGGAATGAACCTCTGTGGCTTTATCAGGCTCAGACCTTTGTGATTTTAACCTTGAAATCAATATCAGCTGCTCAACTGCCCACCCCACAGGGGAAGCTGCAAGACCCTGGACAAGGTGCTAACCTCCTCCAGGCCTCAGTTTCCCACTATCTGCAATGCGGGCCAAGCAGCTGGTCCCTGGAGTCCCCAGTCCCATGGGAAGAAAGCCAAGTCCTGCTGCCCTTTCCGGTCCCGTGGTCCAGCCTTGGGGCTGCCCGGGAGCCGCCGCCGGCAGCCAGAGGGAGGAGCCAGGAAATCCGGGCGGGGCGCCCCCCTCCAGCCCGGGCCAGGCGCCGGAGGGGGCGCCGGAGGGGGCGCCGGCTGCCCCCAGAAACGCGCTCCAGATGCGCGAGGCGCTGCCAGCATTCCTGGAAGGTAACGCAGGCCGGGCGGGGGGCGGGGCACGGCCGCAGCCCGCTGCCAGATGTGCACCGCGAACAGCTGCCCTCGGCTAATAAGGTCAGCTCCTGGCTCCGGCGAGCCGCGCACTCGCTGCCGCCTCCGCCCGCCCGGCACCCGCTGCCGAGCTTCCCGGGGCGGCCTGGGGGAGGGGCCGGAACGTCTCCCCACCCTCAGTGGTCTAGGGAGGAGAGATCAGAAGCCTCTTGTGAGGGAGGTGGGGGTCAGAATCACCCAGCCCCCGTCCCCCAACCAACACCTCCCTACCGGGGGAGGACAGAACCCCACCAGTGGGTGGGGGTGCGAGGCTTGCTCTGATTCAGTTTTATTGGCTGTTTCCTTTCAGTAATTGAGAGGAGACCTAGTGCTACGTTTGGGGCAGGGGCCGGGGCCTGAGGGGGTAGGGCACGCTGACCACGTGGGCTCCCCACTGTTGGCTGGGCCGTCTGCCTGGGAAGTGTAATTGCGGGAAGCCTGGAGCTCCTAGGGTTTCCTGCCCCCGCCACGAGGGACATCACGCCCCCAGCCTATCCCCTCTACCTCACCCCACCCCAGGAGCACCCAGTCCTACGTCCAGAGATGTGAGGTCACCTTCCTGCGGTCGGGGAGTAGGGGAGCCAGTTGGAGGATCAGGGCCCAGATTCCTCTCCTGCCTGCCATCCAGGTCCTGGACAGGGCCAAGGAGAGTACCCCCACCTCCTGCCCGCTCTCCCCCGGATAAAGGCGCCGGCAGCCGCCTTTGTTTCTCTGGTGTAAACCAACCCAGATGCGGACTAATCCCCCAGCTGGGCTGGATTTGCTGGCGGCTGCGGCTCTAGCACCTCCCAACCCCTCAGCCCCGCCTTCCCTGCTGCTTGGTTCCCTGGGCTACTGGGGAGGGGGAGAGGGAGGGGGCGTGGCCTGGCAGCCTCGACCTCACCCATCTCCCCCGAGCGCCAAGGGCACAGTGAGGCCACCAGCTTTGGGACCCTGCCCTCGGGTGCCCAGTGACCTAGGGCGAGTCATGTGACTTCTCTGAGCCTTGGTTTTCTTGTCTATAAATTGGGAATAATGAGGACCGGGCCCACAGGTTGTAGTGGGCTCAGCTGAGCTCAGCTACTATTATTAGGATCTGGAATGATGCTCACCTCCCTGACCAACCACTATGAGCGCCACTGCCCCATCTAACCACACATCCCATCTCCAGGGCACAGAACAGCGGTGTCGGTGACTTAGGTGCCCAAAGGATGGCTCATTCACTCCTTCCAAGAACCCGGGAACCTAAGGAGACTGGTGCTGGTATTAATCCCATCGCACAGATGAAGAAGGTGAGGCCCAGAAAGGCCCCAAAGCTAATAACAGACAGGATTATTATAAAAAATGAGGACGTGGCCTAGAGAGGTAAAGTGACTGGCCTAAGGTCACACAGCAAATGAGAGACAGAGAGAATGGATGCCCAAGGGGCAAATCTCGGAGGTGGGAAGGGAGGATACCTTCCCAGCCTTTGCCAAAGCTCCTTATAGCACTAGGTGGGCTTTCCTAGGTGTGGTCTGAAACCCTCCAGAATCAGACCCCTGTGATCCTTGCTAACTATGCAGACTCCTGGGCTCTGGTCTGGTCCTACCAAACTAGAGTCCCTGGGGGGAGGCCCTGGACTCTGCATTTATTACAAGGTATGGTTAGGAGGTGGTTGAGGGCCTACATTCTAGGCTGCTGTGCTATGTGTGTATGGAGGACAAGGCAGCTCTGAAGAGGGCTCTCTGTCACCTCCGGGGCCCAGCCTTCCAGCCTTGGGCCACCCAGGCTGGGAACACAGCCTTCACCTGGGCTGGTCCAGCCAGAAGGCGGGCAGGGTGCCAAGCTCAGAACCTGCCAGGAGTGTCTGATGGACGTGGCGCCTCCTTCCAAAGGCCATTAATCATCCAGAGAAACTCCCCGTCAGTCTGTCTGTTCCTGCTGCCCCCACTCATGCATACACCCCCATATGCACCACATGCAGACACACATAGCACACACGTATGCACACACACATGCATACACCAGGTGCACCCAAGAGGCACATCACGCCCCCCCGCATGCACATACTGCACATGCAAGAACACACACTATGCACACAGGCTCTGCACAGACACACATCATATACTCACACATACCACACAGGCACACAGATTTCACACATCATACACATGTACCACACAACATACTGCATTCAGACCATACATGTGCACGTGTGCACATAGACACGTGCGCACAGGAACACACACATGCAAACAGAGACACGTATGTGTGCACACACAGCTGTCAGAGCAGTTCCCACTCCAATGAGACAAACGGGGCCCCTGAAGCCATTCTATTGGGTTGTCGGAAAAGTCATGACGTATTTTTTCTTTTTCGTTGCAAAAATGTGTCATGACTTTCCCCACAACCCAATAAATACATATTCTAATAGCCTGAACACCCTGCAGCTTCCACTGGGGGCCCCACCCAGGCTCCAGCTCCCCGTTTGTTTGGGGTGCCAATTCTGTCAACACAGTGCCTTCCTGGGGCTTTTCGTCCCCATCCGAAGCTCTGGCTGGTGAGTTAAGTGATTAATAAAAAGTGAGGAAATGAACTAATGATTGGCTGATAAATGTGGTTTGGCAGACATCTCCCTTTACAAGTATGGAGGAAGGTGACCACGTGGATTTTTGGGGTGAGCAGGCTGGGATTATACTTCCCCATGCATTTCACTGGTAAGAATAAGGCCTGGGTAGGGGACCCATCCAGAGCCAGCAGCCCCAAGGCACCCCTGGGACCAGAGTGCAGGTCTCCCAGCCCCTGCCTACTGACCACCCTCTCTGACCAATGGCCACACACCCAGAAGCCCAGCCATGTGTGTCATGCCCTGGAGCCATTCATTCATCCATTTATTCAAACATCAGAAAGGACACAAACACAGGGTTGAGATCCTGCAGATGCGACCAGGGTGGACAGAAGCTGTCTTCAGTGGGAGTAGTCAGGGAGGCCTTCAGGAGGAGGTGACATGCTCAATGAAAAGGAGGTAGGCAGAAAGGCAGGTGCGGTGTCGTATCAGAGGGCAGAAGGCTGTGGTTTCAGCAGGATCCTTCCCACCCCTGAGCCTTGGGAGGCACACCAAGTGACACAGAAACTCAGCTGGGCCACCTTTAGGGCCTTCTTGGCAGCCGACAGGCCTGAGGATCTGTCATTTGCTTTCACTCCCACATCCTGAGTGGGAGCAGTTCTGTCCCACTTTGCTCCAGACACTCAGAGCCTGTCCACACCCTGAGCCCCCATCCACCTGCCATCTGAGGATAGTTTGATCCTTCCTGCACCATGCTTGAGGCCAGAGGGGAGAAGAAGACTGGTGCTCAGATGGGCAGAATGTTTACATTCAGACATGAGGGCTGGCCTTTTCTGTGCCCCCAGAAAGCGGCTCTGGCCAGGGCTTCTCTTTGGGGTTTGCTCATTCTTTTGGGTTCAGAAGGCAGCTCCCAAGGAAGAAGTTGTAAAAACACTTGGCTTGGTGCAGCCGTGTGGCAACAAACGTGTACCTCCTAAGGGATGTACGAGGTGTGATTAAAAAAGTACAGTGAGTGTTTACATTTTAAAAACTGGTTACGGTAAAAGACACATTGCCATTAATCCCCCTTAAAATACTTGCCCTCGCTTCAAACACATTTATCCCATCGTTCTTGCCACTTTCTGAAGCAGTTCTGGAAGTCCTCTTTCGTGAGTGTCTTTGGCTGTGCTGTTGTGGCTGCCTCCATGTCCTGAATCATTTTGACTTTGGAGAAGAGCCGGAAGTCCCACAGCGCCAGATCCAGTGACTAAGGTGGATGAGGACACACCGTAATGTTTTTATTTGACAGAAATTGCCATATACCAGACGTGATGTATGACATGGAGCTTGTCGTGATGACGGATGATTTACGGCACACTTTAAAACACACTTTCTCTCAATCATAGCTCACACCCAACTGGCTGCATAGAGAAACTTGTCACACACTGTTACTAAGGTTCAAAGCGCCACTTCCCGTATTGAAGATCCCTGCCTTTCTGTTGGATGGCACTGGGCAGCAGCATTCACTGTATGTTTTGATAACAACGGAAAGGCTCCAAGTCACACATCACTTCTGGTACGGCAATTTCTGTCAACTAAAAACATTATGGTGTGTCCTCATCCACCTTATTCACTGGATCTGGCACTGTGCGACTTCTGGCTCTTCCCTGAAGTCAAAATGACCATGAAAGGTAAACGTTTGCATCGACTCAGGACATTGAGGCAGCCACAACAGCGCAACTAAAGACACTCACGGAAGAGAACTTCCAGAACGGCTTCAAAAAGTGGCAAGAACGATGGGATAAGTGTGTTAAAGGTGAGGGGGAGTATTTTGAGGGGGATTAATGGCAATGTGTCTTTTACTATAATTTTTTATTTTTTTATTGAAACATTCACCATATCTTTTGATCACACCTCACACCAAAGGCTGATGCTTGGTTCTGGTCTGCCTGACAAAAAGACTTGCTGCTTTCTTGTCTCCCACCCCTCAACTGTGGGGAAGTGAGTCTGGCTGGGCCCAGGCCCTATAAGCCTGGCACTTCCTGAGCCAGGGGCAGAGGGGCCACCAAGCACGGCACTTGTAGCTGTCAGAGAAGGGCCACAGAGTAACACCCACCAGTGGTCAGCATCACTATCAGGAGACCCAGCACCAGGATGGCTCTCCATGTGTTTTTACAAGTTTTTCTGTATCTTCTAAGTTTTCTAGGATAACCAGGCATCGTTTTTGTGCTGGGGAAACAGTAAAGTAAGTGTTCTAAGAGGCACTCACAAGAGGAAGAAGCACAAACTACTACCCTGACACAGATGTGAAACTGTGAGGTTTTTTACATTTTATTTTTATTATTATTTTTTTTTAATTGGGGAATTGGGGGACAGGAACAGCACTGGGGAACTGGGGGAAGGGGAACAGACAAGTTGCTGTCCTTTTGTTGTGCAGTCTAGTTGTGGAGGATGTTGCTTCACTGGCCCAAGTTGGCACCATCATTGCGCTCTTCCCGGGCGAGGCAGATCAGTTGCCGGCTTCTGGACGGCCGCTCACTGCGGCTGCTGGCCGCTCACACTGGCTGCTGGCCACACACGGTAGCCCATGGCAACCCACTGCAGCAGGGGCTGCAGCCCACACCATTGCCGGCGACTCACGGCAGCCCAGCTCCAGGTTGAGCTGTTGTTCAGCATCTTAGCTGTAGAGGGCAGTGTCATGGGCCCTCATATGTGGGATCCAAACCGGAGCCTTCTGGCGTCCCAAGCCAGCTCTTAACCATCGCGCCACTCGGCCGGCCCAAAACTGTGAAGTTTTTAGATAGGCTCTGGGGTCTAGGTAAGTAGCTGCCTGAGAGGAAGACCCAGATTAGATATTGCACTGCTCCCACAGGTAGCTCCGCCCAGAAAGCCCCTAAGGAAGGCAGGAAGAGGGGCTACATCCAGCCAGCTACCCCTCTGTTCCACCCTTGCATCCAACTATTGGTCCATCTACTCATCCATTTGAGCATCCATTTGTCTGCCTAACCATGCGCACACTCAACCATTCATCCATCCATCTTTCCATCTATCCAGCCATCATCCATCATCCATTCATCCATCCAAACACTCACCCATCCATCCAAATATCCATTCATCTATCCAGCCTCCATCTCCTCACTACCATTCCATTCTTCCATCGTTCCATCAGTCCATTCACTCATCTATCTATACATCATCTATCCATCCTTCATTTTTCCATCATTCTGTCCTTCTACCCACTCATCTGTAGTAAGCAACTTTTTCATGTAATCTAACCAGCATCTGTTCCCCCACCCCCACCCTGCCACAGTGGGGCTGTCAATCAACATATTCCTTTTCCCTTTAGAGGGGTGGGCATGTGCCCCAGGCTGGATGCATCAGAATCTTCCCTGTGACATTTGCTATTACCACTCTTCCCCTTCTCTGGTGTCACCAGATGTCACCCTGGAACTGCTGATGGCCATCTCTGACAGCACATGGGGAGAACCTGTCAAAGAATGACTCCCATACAGAAGAAAGCAGAGCTGAGGATGGAGAAAGGGAAAAACCTGAAGACATTCATTGGATGAGCCCTGGATCCAAGCGTTCCTGAAGCCACCATACCCCTCATCCACTCAGCAAACCCCCCTTGTGCTAGAGCAAGTTGAAGCTGGGTTTGTGTCACTTGCAAATAGAAAGGTCAACGGGTAACACAAGCCCTTCTAATAGAGGACAAGGTGGTTTAGAACCTTTTAGATGCTTGTCTCTGAGTCAAACAAGGACACTCAAAGGACACATAAGCCCTGCCCTTGCATGCCAGAGGCTGACCCTCCAGTTGGAGAGGCAGCTCTAAAACACAGTGAGGAAAGCCACACAGCCCAGATACTCGATGCCAGCATGGGATCAAAAGAGGCCAGACAAGGAGACAAGGCACCTATAGTAAAAGCCTCTGTGTTCCTATCTATAAAATTGAGACAGCAGCCCCTACAGTACAAGGCTGCTCGAAGATCAGTGAGGGAGCAGACCGTCTGGGCTGCCCACCCACCAGCCATTCCTAACCCCTTCTTTTCTGGATGGCACAGCCTGCCCCCATAAAATCTGACAAGGTCAGAGACACATGTTCCCAGCACCCCTGCAGTTACAGATGGCATGTGAACCAGCCCTGGAGAAGCAGACCCAAGTTTGCTAAAATGTTCTAGGAAACATTCTTCCCCCAAAGAGACAGAGCAAGGGGATCCCCTACCCCTCTCTTCCCATCCTGTTTTTGGCTGCTATCATGTGAAAACATGATGCTTGGAGCTGCGGCAGCCAGTTTGCAACCATGAGGAAAGGGTCAAGAAAATCACACTTGGATTTACTATGATTTAAAGAAAAGTTCATCTTATACACTTGGGACAGTGGGCTGCGGTTTACCCTCTCTTGATGATGGGAGGCAGTCTCATGAAGCAGTTAAGAGTATGGATTCCAGAGCCAGCCTTCTTGGGTTCAAATCCCAGTTCCACTACTTGCTGGCTGTGTGACCTTAGGCGAGTTACTTAACCTCTCTGTGACTCTGTTCCCTTCTCTATAAAAAAGGTATGATTTGTGTTAAATGACTTAGTATAAATAATACTTAGCACAGTGGTTGGTACATAGAAAGCGCTCGACAGACATTAGCTTTAACTAGCCATCACAGTCAGAGAATATGGGGGTAGGGGTGGACCTACCCTGTCAGACGCGCTGGGAGAAGCTGGGCGGGCACAGAGGCCCAGGCCCACAGAAGCTGAACAGGAGCTGTGAGCCTGCTCCTGGCCTTGGCATGGTGGAGGCCGTGCTGACTTGCTCTGTGTTCACCCTGCCAAGGCCAGAGCAGCTGGCTCCAGCCTGCCGATGACTGCAGGGAAAGGCGCCCCATGACGCAGCCCACCCGCCTCCCCTCCGACACCCCTGCTGCCCAGAAGCCAGGCTGGCAGGCCACGAGTTGGACATCCTGTTGGCCTGCGGGGACCTCAGTCCCTGGTCCAGAGATGTCTCCCCCACCACTCTGCAGGCCGCCTCCTTGTCGCCCAGCAAGTTAGCTTCACCTTTGGTAGAGAAAGCAGTGTCTCTCCCTCCACCCCTCTCACTGGAGCTGTGTGGAAGCAATTTCGCTTGGCAGCCTGGCAACAGTGAGTCAAAACAGTTGTTTGGCGTGTCCTATGCCCAGGCCTTGCACAGCTCAGAACAGGCTGCTGAGCAGGGGGCCGCGTAACTCATTTGGGTGTGTTCTCCTCTCCAGTGAGGGCTGAAGGCCCCAGGCTCAAGGGTCCCCAGGGTCCTTTGCAGCAGGGTAAACTGAGGCAGAAGAAGGCTCTCATCTCTGCACCATCTCTTCTGAATAGATCCTTTCTGCTAACTGGTCTTCTGGGCTCAAAGCCCCCTCCTCTCCCAAAACCTAATTAGACATGACTGATCTGCCCTCCTTTCTATCTGTGCCTGCTACCCATAATGCACGTGGTTCTCACAGGGCCTGGGAAATGCTAGGCACATACTGTAGGCAAGGTCTTTTTTACACACAACACCTCGTGGCATCTCCATGACAACCCCAGAGACAGGCACTATCATTATTCCCATTTTACAAGTGAGGACACTGAGGCTCAGGGAGTGAATCCCTTGCCCAGGTCACACAGCTAGTCCATGGAAGGGCAGGGATTCAAAGCCAGGGTTGGCTGACCTTAAAGCAGGGGCATTAATTCCAATGATTCAGCATTCCCAGAAGCTTCTGGCCCCAGAGTTTTGCCATCCCCCCTCCTGGCCATCCTGCACAGTGCTGCCTAAGAACAGAGTTTACAAACCTCCCCCGCTCAACAACCTTCAATGGCTCCCTAACACCCATTGTAAAAAAAACAAACCACATCCTTTGCAAATCCCTCCCCATCCCTGACTCCTGATATCATCCCTGTAATCCACTTATTCTTCACCACGAACCACGTGAAAGGCCCCCTTGAGAGCCTGGAATACTTGCTGCCTCCTCCACAGGCCAGGCATGCACCCGCCTCAGGGCCTTTGTACATGCTGTTCCCGCCCCCTGGAAGCCACTTTCTCCCCACTCCCCCTCTGCTTAACTGCCACCTCCTCAGAGAGGCTCCCTGGCCTTCCCTAAGGCAGCCCTCCCCACAATACCTCTCTCCTGCAATATTTTCTCGATCATTCTTCTCACTCCCTAGCATGGCATTCTCTTAGCCTTGACTTATCTGTTTCATGTTTGATGCCCCCAATCAGAATGTGAGCCTTGCCTGTCATGTCTACTGCTGCATGCCCTGTGCCAGCACACAGTCAACATTCAGGAAATGGTGAGTGAATGAGTGAGTAAATGAACGAATCTCCATCTCTAGGGGCTCAGCACAGAGCCAGAATATATCCAGACTCCTGGCTGGCCTGAACCACCCCCCACTCTGACCCCAACCTCCAAGGTCCGCCTCCATGACTCTCGAGGACACTCAACTTCATAGACTTCCTCAAATTTGCCTATGCAATGTCTGCCGCCCAAATCACCCTTTCTCTTTCACTCACACGGCCAACTCCTGTGCATTCCTCAAGAGCCCCCTCAAGTATTGCTTCCTTTGCAAGGCAGAGCTGGTCGTACCCCCTTGACACCTTCTGTCCTGTGGACATCCCCACTGTGAGGCTCACGGGGAGAGGTTTACATGTGCTTGCCTTCATGGAACACAATGCCTGCACGCAGCAGACACTCACTACACCAGGGTAACCAACCACCTCCTCTCAGTACCTGCACTACATACAGGCCTCCTCTGCTGAGGAGACTCCACTCTATGTGAGCTCCACAACAGCACCAGGCTCTCTGATGGTGGGGCTGTTTTGTTCACTGTTATGTCCTCAGTGCAAAATCCAATGCCTGTTGGATGAATGGACAGACAGGCTGACAGGTGAATAGGCAGATGGAAGAATGAAAGGAAGGAAAATGGATGGATGGATTGGTGGATAGATGCCCAGAAGGAAAAAAAAAAGATGAATGGATGGATGAATGAAAAGAAAAAAGGAATCAGGTAAGACAGATAGATATATGAAAGGATGGACAAACAGATGGAAGAAGGAAAGACGGACGGATGGATGGATGGATGGATGGATGAAGGATGGAAGGATGTCTGGGCTGGTGAGTGGACAGATGGATGGCCGGGTGGATACACGCATGCATGGGATGGATGGATGGAAGGACAGAAAAGATGGATGGATGCATGGGTGGATGGGTAGGCAGGAAGTTGGGTGTGGAGAATGACTACTGCTTAGGTTACTTATTCCCATGGGTAACCTCAGTTTTCTGACCAGATGAAGAACCCACAAAGGCGTTATCCCTACCTTCACCAACAAATGCTACCACTGCTCAGCGTGAGCAGAGAGAAAGGGCTGTATCAGCTTAGCACGCACCGCCCCCTCCCCGTACCCTCCACATACACTCCACCCACTGAGGTTGTTAGGAGCAGCCCCACAGACAGTGTGCTGGGGCTGAAAACACAGTGCTGTCTCCTAGCAGGGGACACCTACCAAGCCCTGAACATGAACTGGGCCTCATGTCAAGTGCTTTTTTGAAGACTCCACTCTACCTGAGCTCCACAACTGCACCAAGCAATACGCTGCTGCCTCACTCAATCAAAGGGACAACTGTAACCCCAAGAGATGAGCTGCTTGCTCATGGTCACACAGCTGTAGTTGGCTGTGCCAGGATTCGAACCCAGGCAGCCTGGCTCCAGAGCCCACACACTTAGCCACTCTGTCAACAGGCCCTGGGCTTGGCCGTCACGTTCTACTTCCTCACTTTGTGGCATTTTCACTTGCCTTGTCCTTCATCTTAACTTGACTCGTAGTATTTCTTACTTCATAATTTTCCTTAAATCAACTCATTTTTTTGAGCTTAAATAAAGTCAAAATGTACATGGCTACCATAAAAGGAAAATGAGTATTAAGCAACATAAATAGAGGGTAACCCTAAAAATACATACCGTGAAAACTAAGTAATGTTATTTAACTTTCGCCAGATACTATTCCCGACCAAGGCTCTGGGCCCAAGGCCTATTCTCTCTCTATTAAACAGGGAGATCAGGAAGTGTGGTGGTTTAAAAATATGTCCACAGATGCTCTGACACGCCTCCCTTGAACAGGCGGGGCCCTTGAGTGTGGGTCAGACTCAGTGATTTGCTTCTAACGAACAGAACAGGCAGAAGAGACAGTGTGTGGCTTCTGAGACCAGGTCACTTAGAGGCACACAGCTGGCTCTCTTTTGGATCACTCACTCTGGGCAAAGCCAGCTGCTCTATGGAGAGACCCACATGGCAAAGGACTGAGCCCTCCTGTCATCAGCTAGCAAGGACCCGAGGCCTTCAGCCAACCGCTGTGCGAGGCTCCATCTTGGCAGCGCCTCCTCTAGCCCCAGTCAAACTTTCTGATGAGATGGCAGCCCCAAGCGACATCTTGATCACAGCTTCATCAGGGCCAGAACCGCTCAGCTGACCCACTCCCAAATTTCTGCCCTACAG